AAGGTTTAGTTTCAAACTGAATAATAATAAGCAAATTTGCAAGTGGGCATGTCTCAAATGTTCCCGTTTGAAACGCAGCGATTTCGTAATTCCTTCGTTCGATAAAAAGTTTGGCGAGCCGCGCGACGAAATATATAATTGTACTTCTGCAGAGTGGCTTGCTAGAGATATTCTTGTATCTCAAAACGTCAATTTCCTCTCTCCTTAACGCGTCAACCTTCGCCTGGCGGATATTCAAAACGATCGCCAGAACTCGATTCCAGTTACCTCTCGGATCGTTTCATCTCATCGCGTAAATGAAACCACCATCGAACGAAACGATCTTCTTCCGCGCGCTTCCTCAAGGAGAAACAAAAAGAGAGAAATATCATCCGGCAGGTGTAGGTTGTCCTTGCTTCTTTTTTTCTTTCTCTCTTCTCTTTTTCCCTTTCCTTTCCACCTCACGGCCGATAAAAGATACCAGAGGTGGATCGAGCGTGGAATAAAGGGTGCCGGGGGGTGGTGGGTGAGGAGGGATCGTCTATAAAGAGCGATCGTAAAGTGGCGAACGTCACTTAAAGGGTCTTCAAACCTCTATTACTTTGAGAGAGAAGCACTCTGCGCTATTACCAATACACGAAATAAAAGCTGGTAGGTGGGATGCAAGCGTGGAACACAGCACGGGGATGAGGAGGGGGGCGAGGAGGGGGGGCCAGGTCGTGCCCGAGCTTTCGTCACCGACACTATCTCGCAACTTCTCGCGTACCGATTCCCTCTCTGTTTCGTTTCCTTCCACTTGTTCCAGCCTCGTTCGTCCCTGTGGCAACTCCCTCTTTCCCACCTACAAAGTGCCATTCGATCGGCCGCGATCCATTAAGGAAGGCCAAATATCGCTTTATCGACTCGCGACCTCCATTCTTGAAAGCGTTTTTAATGGAGCCGATCCTTCTCTTCCGCCGCAGCAACCGTCTTCTGCGTCTCCGCCTCACCGCCAGCGTGTTCGACGTGTTGCCTCGACTGTTATTGATTTTATGATTACCACGATTTGACGATCGCGCGTACCGCGCGCGTCCCCGATTTTTAGGGAAGATCGGAGAACGATGGCAATTAAACCGGTGTTCCTGGCCGCGCGTTCTTCTCAACGAGGGCAATTTGAGGCTGAATGACCGCGTGCTCTCCCCGCCTGCACCCGTAATGGATTGGCCTCTACGTGATTCTTGATTCCGTAATTACGGTCTTTTTCTTCCTTTTTAATTACGTACCTTTGTTCGCCGGGTTGAAACGGGGTACACGAGGAACCGGATATCTCCCGGTGGTTTCTAGGTTAGGTGGTTCTGGGTTCGATTGACTGGCTCGATACCGAGTCGTCCCTTCACGAGACTCGCGAACGACATTGTTTCGAGATTGCTTCTTAAAATCGTCCGATTACTCGTTCTCGAGAGACACTTCAAAACGAATCGCTTGATTTAAAATCAACCCCGCTCGAATTTTGAGGAAACGAATAAAAGCCCTATTTAAAGAGAACTCGGGGAAACTCGAGGTAAGCTCGGGGAATTGTAAAAAATTGAAAGGATAAACACGAGAGTTCTTTCTTGCCGGTGGAAATTTCCATAATTTTCATTTAATTTCAGTGTAGAAATTTGCTGTTTGAATTTTCGCTATTTTTCCCCATCTTTCTTTTCTTCCTCTTCTCTTTTCCTTTTTTCTATGAATACACAACGCGGCTTGGTTGATGGTAAATTGGTTGGGCTTCGTGGGACCGTGATTAAAGGAATTTCGCGTGTACAGAATGAACGTGACAACGGCGATGAGAGACGTCATGTTCAACTGCGGATTGATTGGTACGTCTATTCTTCTGTTTCGCGTCAAAGCTGAAACTCTTTCTATTTTCTGTTTCTGGTAAATCGATATTGCCCGTTTGTCCAGGAAATACATTAACAATTCAACCGCCGTGTGTTTATTGACAACCGAATAAAAACGAATGCACGATTGAACTTTCGTTCGCCGTTTTTCATTCTGTCGTTTTCCAATTTTTCAATGTTAAGGAGTTTACTTTCGATCGGATGGTCCTTTAACGATTCTATTTTTCCTGTTTGTGTGTATGTGTTTGTTTCACTATTTGCCAACGAGATAATTTGACTTAGAAACAAATGTTCTTCTCCTATTCTTCGCCCCCCTTTCGTATAGACAATTTTTCATCGAATATGCGAACACTTTTGTCCACTTCTGTGCGTAGATCGGAGATAACATCTACCTTATTTATATCTTTCATCCCTCGCCACACCCTCTGTTCCCCTTTCTTTCCTCGTGCTCATTTATCAATATTATCGCCACCTAATTTCACGCAAATCGTTCAAAATAATAACGGCACAATATCCGCGTTTTCATCCCGATTGATCTCACTGTCTTCGCCCGCGAAGAGGTGGGCCTCAGATATGTTTATAAAAACGATCGGTCTTTCTTTGCGAAACAACATATTCCTCTGGCGAGGAGCGAAGGATGAAATAGAAATTGGCGCAATTAAAAGATTCAGTTCCAATTGGTGGTAGTTGAGCGATCGATCGATCGAAATCAACTCCGTCGAAATGGAAAAGTTTCCCTTGACGAGCGATCTAATGATGCGTGTCGTAATCCTTCGTTAAAAGTCGTCGTTAAGCCGCGATATTGCGTGGAAAAAAATGCCGTGGCATTTCATTCCCTCGTAATTATCAGCCGTTCTCGTAAAGAAAAGCTCCATACTCCTTGAAAACTGTCGAGCGGATCGTAGTACGGTGATCGTAAACGGGGGCTTCGGAATCGTCGGTTGTTAATCGCGTTCACCTCTCGCAATTGAGAAAGATAGATTCGCAGTGTAACGAAAATTACAATTAAACGAATTAAATTAGGAATTAATGCGAAGTTGTTTTTTTTTGCTATTTTTTTTTCTTCTTTTTTTCAACGTTGCATCAAGTTGTCATAATTCACGGCAGCAACGATATTCGTATCTTTGACGCAGTTATTTACACGTTGAAAATTTACACGTTACAGGTACGCAGGTAAATTATATGTATGAACTTTTACATATTACGTCGCTACATCGCGATTATAATAGCATGGAAATTTGTACCTGACAATTTAAAATTGTTGCAACAACTCCTTGTTTTTCGTTTCCTCGTTGCGTCAACGTTAGAAATTATACTCGGTAAAGAAAGGAGAAATAATTGTGTCACTCGAAATCGCACTTAACGAAGATCCATGAATCTTGAATCTTTATTTCCCCGGGTCGTGTGTTTCCAGATATAATACATACGATTTACCTCGTATTAGATAAAATTCATTTCTATGAATATGTATATTTAACGCGTAGTATATTATATTGGAATCGACGAGATGCATTTTGATAACATTTTAGCGAGTCGGGTTTGCATATTCATAGAAACCAACGCCGGACAATTTTGCTTTTAATATAATGGCCACGCGGAGAATTGCTCCGCAGTTAAAATATGTTACAACAATATATTGTACTAGCGAGTCGATATCAAGTTCTTTATATTTTCCTATTGCAGTAATTTCTCGTCGAACGATGGATTACACGAAACATTTATAAAGTATATTCCACGCCAAATGTTAAACGATTAATTTCACTCGAGTGTCAATAATATAACATTCAATCGATCGCGAAAAATAAAAGAAGACAAGCTCAAATAAAATTCGAAGTAACGGTTGGTCAAAACCTCAAGTTTCTGATTTATGAAATAAAATAAACTCGATACTATATATATGACGTTCTTCGCTGAACGTTCGCCATTGGTAGATGAAAAACGAGTGGACACGTTCGACGAAATTTCCCTTCACGACCATCTTTGCGCCGTCTAATCTGTCTCGCAAACGCCTCGTTCGTTCCACGAGAAAGTTCGTTCAGCGAGGAAACCTCGAAGCAGAAAAACAGTATTCGAGAAAAGGCTTGCTGAATGAAAGACACGAACCGGGTGAAAGGAGCAGAATCGAGGCGAGATTCTAGCGCAGATTCCGCCGAGGAAACGCTTCGAGCAAATAGTACCCGTGGCTTTCTTAGCCGTGTTTCTTTCTCGTCCGATAATTTACAATCTCAGATTGCGCCACTCGTATCCTCGTAATTTTTGGGTAACGCCTTATTGCGCCGCTCTGGTCTACCGTTGTCGCCTATAAATCCAGTTGAAGGAAAATTAACGGGCAACATTCGTCGAGAGATGTGAAAGAAAAGAGTCTTATCTCTTAGCGAGAGATTAACGTGCACGATTAATTGAAACGCGTTGGAAGATTTGGATTTTTGTTTGTTTGGCCAAAGGTTGCGAGATAATTAAAGGTCATTGGTTTCGCGAATGATTAATTTAACTTTGTGCCTTTTTCAATGATTTCATCTTTAGTAAAAAAAATTACATTTATCGTGTAATGCGAAAGGATGATTTCCTCCATATAATAGTTCAATTCTTCATCTTCTTTTTGGTGAAAGAGACCAAAATTTTTGAGATTTACTTTTCATTCTTTAAAAATTAGATTCCTTTGAAGGAACAATTTACGTACTCGTAACAAGAAATTAATGTATAACATTTGTCGAGAGAAACGAGAGGAGAATGTTCAATTTTCTAGCGAAAGATTATTGTGCACAATTACAATTGGAAAATTTTTCATTTGCTTAGCCAAAAATTAACCATCTCTGGAAAGAATAATTAGTTTTATTCTTTCTTGTCTTTTCTTCTCTTGCCAAATCTTTTCAATTTTTTCATTTTTGACCAAAGATTAAATTAATCTTGAAAGTTTAAGATTTTTATTTAAATCGACCGATTAAATTAACTCTTCTGTAAATAATTCAATTTATTGAAATGCACTATATAGAAAGATACAATTTCTTTATTTGGATTCATTGTTTACCTTGAGAAATTAGATCTCTTTAGAGGAACAATTTAAGTATATGATTATGAACAATGTATCCAATTAATATATATTCGCGATAAGGAATTTTGAAATATATTACTTCAATATAATATTTTTTCTTTTTTTAGAGCTTGCCACAAACACCAGCTGGCGGTGTCGGTGGAAAAGGAAGCGGAAGTGCTGGCGCCGGTTCTGGTATGGTCAATGGCTCTGGTGCCGATCATCAAGATATTCGTGACGGTGCTGCTATAAATACAGAACACGTGAGTAATTCCTCATACTCGTGATTTTTTTCTAACATATGTATATATAAATCACGTTAGAGTTAAATATCAGAATTTCTTGAACTTTTGTCATTTCACAATAAATTTTAGGCAAATTTTAAGGAGTCTAAATTTCTAAAATAGAAACTTCGATCTTCAAAATCGTAGCAGATTTAGACACAAAAAAGAAAATTTTCAACATCTGAATTACAGTTTGACGTAAAGTAGAAACTTCGATCTTCAAAATCGTAGCAAACTTAGATGCAAAAAAAGAAAATTTTCAACATCCGCATTACAGACGTTTTAAATTTTACAATTTTTCCGAAGGATTGCGCTTTTTCCAATTTTTCATTTCGCCGCGTCGTGTCAAAGTATCCCTGAAAAGAAACGATCCGAGAATCGTGAGTGTGGAGGCCTCGCGCTTTAAAACCCAGCCCAGCTGGATTCTCGTCGCGATTTCTTTTCACCAAGTTGTAACAGTTTATAGTATCGGCAAGTTTCGCTCGAGTGCTTCGAACACTTTTGCGAACCAGTCTGGAATGACTGAAACCCGTAACAGAATCGTCTGGCACGAAATATCGTCGTGCTCGCGTGAAGTAGGGGCTCGATGGCCGAGGGAAAAAGCTGGACGAGCTGTTGGCCAAGTGAGCAAGAACAAATCGGCCGTTTCTTCGGCAATGATCGCCGTTACTATTCGTCGAAACTTCTTTGAAAGTACCGCAACGAGGAAAGTTTCGCAGTGAAAGCAACAAAGTGAGCCGTTCAGCGCGTCGGTGGGCATTGTTCGCTTCCTTTTTGTCTTATTTCGCGACCACCTTTACATCCCGCGGGGGTTTCGCGAAAAAATAAAGGGGAGGAAGGTCATTGGCGTGGAGCAGCTCGGGGAAAATTGCCCCAGCAATTGCCGAGCAAAAAAGCATCGAGCTTCGATGTTACGTGTGTGCGTTCACACCGAACAAACGAATCAAATTTGTGCCTCTATTCGTATCGTTGCTTTCATTAACGAGCGTCAGTGTAATAAATTAGCGCGAACGAGCGTTCTTTCGTTTGGTACAAACGTACCATTATTCGATTCTCGCAATTTTTACATATCGAAATCAAACGAGTATTAATTTTTGTAGTAGGTATATTAACTTAGAGATTAGAAAGGTGTAGTAACACGAATGTGTTTTGTGTCAGTATCTTTTAAAATAAAATAATTATTTGCTCTATATATATATATATATATATATCATCATCTTGACGCAAAGATGTCTAGCTTGTAACGTCCAATAGTTGAAAAATACATTTTCCTGAATCACGCTTCGAATCATCCGAGAGGTCTCAAAAAAGAAAGAAACAAACTTGGAGAAAATATTTAAGAAACTGGATTCTCGTGCAGTTGAAGTTGCTGAACTCATTACTCATTACTCGAACTAGGGCGTGGTGTGCAGACCCGACAGTTGCGGCGGGAGTCGTCCGCAACTTGATCAACAGGATTGGAAAACAAAAGAAAAGAAAAAAAAGAAGAAAGAAAAATGAAAGAGGAGAAAGAGAGAAAAGGACAGCGGGGAAGGCAGTTCAATCGGAAATCGGCCGGACGTAGCCCGGGAATCCAGGAATTAAGCGATTACTTGCGAAGTTAACCATTGTTTCAGCCAGTCCATCAATCGAGTCCCACCTAGCCACCCCCTTTGTGCAATTCCCAGCCTCGCGCGCGCCTCCTCGTCCGATTTTCGCACGTTGATCCATTCGCACGGAATTAAAACCTATCTACGTTTCTCCGTCTGCTGCTTGGTCGAGATTCGGCAGTCGGAAACGGAGGGTGGAGCCTCGATGCTCACAGAACGGCTGCCGCAATCGTTTGTTTCGATCGGTTACTGATCGAGTTCGTTGCTGACAGAGAAATATGATCAGACCGCGAACTTTTGTGTTTATTTTTATACTTTATATGTTTCTTATAATTTACAGGGATTTAAAAAGAAAAAAAAAAAGAAAAATCTGCGTATCGTTGAGATTTTTTATATTATCGTTTCTCGTGCTCTTTAGACCGTGGACTTGTACGTTTATTTTTATATTTTATACTTATTGTAATTTACAGCGATTTAAAATAGAATCTGCGTGTCGTTAGGATTTTTATGTCATAGTTTTTTATTTGATTTTCTTTCTTACTAACTTCAGTTGACTATTCACTTTCAGCTTTGACCATTGTTTCGGCCTACGGACTTCACAGACACTGCATTAATCCACTCTATTATTCTTTCCCCTTTTGTGACAATCTGTTTGCACAGTGTCCCAATTTCTTTCTTTCAGGCTCTTTTCGTCCTTTCATCCTCTCGTTTTTTCACAGTTTCGAAGCATTGACAAAATCTTGTCCAATTATAGCTCACATTTTGATTATAAACTCACACCGAGAACGTCGATTTCCTCTCGAAATATTCTTCGCCTGTAATGCCTTTACCGACAATTTTGATTCGTTTCTTTCTGTTTTGCTCCCGTCTGACTTTTTTCCACCCACTCTCCGGGAGCGCTTTGTTTCATTGCTATCGAGCAAACTTGACACTTTGCTTTATTTTTCTCTCCTTTTTTTCCTAACTGGGTGGATGCCTCTTTGCAATTTTCGACGATGCGCTATCGATTTAAATGAGACTGCAGAATGATAGCAGCTCGAGCCCCAGCCGATTCCCACGCTGGTTATATGGATTCTATAATCGAAAAACCGAGATAGGGGCAGAGGAAAATGAGGAGGGCTGCAGCCCGAATATTTCATCTTCGCCGAGAGAGAGACGAGAGCTTTCACCAAGTCATTGTACCTACGGGGTAATATTTTGGACGACTTTCGTCCAACGAACGGCCCGATCCGCCAGAGAAATTGTTAATCAATATCGGATGTTCGTTGAAATCCGCCGCAGACGTTCCAGACATTACGCTCCGTTCTGATTGAAAACAAATATCTTTCTACCAATTCCCTCGCTCGCGTGACATATTTCCTCGCATTGAACATCAAAAAAAGAAAAGAATATTCACATTCGTCAATTAATTAGTAGACCGCGGACGTTTGTACAATTTGTAGCTTCTTTTGCAGTAGAGTTTTGATTAATTGGCAACATTTTGAGTAACAGTAAACGTATCAAAGTAAAATATTTAATTTGATCCAGTTTCAAAGCTTAACGCGACTAAATAATACGTTTAAATGCACAAAATTTCAAGAATGAATTCAAAATTCAGAGGTGAAAGTGAAGAAAAGCTCGCTCCGTGTCGCGCGCGTTAATTCCCTCAATTCTTTGGCAAATAGGCTCAGCGACTTGGTTGATTTGCTAATTATAGCGTCGCGAACGCGATAATTCTGCCAACAGCGGAACATGAAATATATCGACTTATCCGTATCTTCCGCGAAAGTTCGCTACGTCTTGGCTTATCTGAGTAGGGCAGTTAGTTCTACGGAAACCATGCTAACTATGAAGTTGCACCGTACTTTCCCTCTCTCTCTCTCTTTCCCTCTATTAAACATACACACACAAATAAGAGAATTTCTGAGAATATTAGAATATCAGACTTGAATACACGTGTATCGATATATCTAGAAGCAACTCCCCTAACTGCTGTACATAATCACCGTGGAAATGAGACGAAATCGATACGCCGGCAAATTCATCGACTCCCGGTATTATTCACGTCCATGCGATTAAATTTATCTCGCTCGAATTATATTATATTCTAACTATAGTGTAACATAATATTCGAATACAACATTTATGTTCATGTCGTTGTTATACGTACGTACATATGTATACATTAATTAATTCTTCGCTTTAGTAATTGTAACTTAATAATTGAAATTTGAAGCATTAATTATTGAACGTACAATTAGTCTATAAAATAAATACGTTGAATTATCGGATGACGACGCCGCGCCAACATTGTGACACCAGCAATTTGTGGAAGCGATGGAGTTAACGCTCTAAAACGTTTGGAACCTTCTCGTTGGTCCACGCTTCTGTTTATAAAACACACTTGTGAAATTCAAGTAATTCGTTCTTCATTCAACGTCAAACCTTTCGTTTTTGCTTCTATACCAAACACTTCCTTAAAATTCAGTGATATTAATACAGAATGGGCCAAAAGTTTCTTCTCACTATTTCTTTTTCTTCTTTTTTTTTGTAATTAAACTGCAACAAAAGATAAAAAAAAACCAATTTTATTAATTTTAAATTAAACTCAAGTTCAAGCATGATTCCATTGTCAGATTTTAAAAACTTATTTCCATCGTTGGAAAAAATGTATGTTAAATTACTGGTTTATTTCTGTAGAAAGTGATTATTGTACAAGTAAAATAATTCAAATACGATCCATTTGTCTTTGGTCGACGATCAATTTTCGTTCGACAACAATTCGTCGAACGTACATGTACGAAAAAACGCGGCTCGGTCATACGAATATCCACAGAGTCGCCTTCCGGACAATTATCCGCGAACGTACTATTTTCTTTTTAAACGGGAGTATTACGTCGCAAAGGGCATCCGTCTCGAAAGTGGTCTGCAGCAGCGAGCAGCCGGAAAATTAGTCGGCGACATTCACCGGGGGACCGGAAGTAGCAAACGACGACAAACGTAACTCCGCACTGGCCGCGAGCACGTACACATCCGTCGACGTTTTATCCACCTCCTCCTCCCTCCTCCCCCCTGTTCCTCGTTGTATTTTCGTGCACCACCGGCTGAACAGGAAAGGAAGGGGGAGAGGGAGGGAAGGAAGAGAAACTAATTCCGTAATTGCGATTCAAATTTCTTTCGTGCAAACTAGCACCCCTCCCTCCACCCGGCTTTCCACGCGTTTTCTTCGTCTTTACAACAGGGAAGACCTATTTGTTTTCCTTACTTTTCTTTATAATTCTCCTCCTTCCTTTCACCGCCGCTTTTCCACCCTTTTATTTTTGCCCGCACGGAAGCCGCGGTTCCGCTCTTTCTTTGCCCCCTACCCGTGTAATTCCAGTCTTATTTATTTCCTTCGGAGGAAAAATTCTG